CAACCAAATGGGGGGAGGGGGAGTCTCCCCTCAGATGGGGCATTCTATGCCCAAGGAAAAGGTAATTTTCCTTACTTTTTGCCCCCCCCAAGTAGGGAGTGGTTAAATGAACTCAGACATCTGGCCAGCCATGGGGATTCATAAAGACCAAGGAAAAGATAGAAGATAGTGTCTAGGAAGGAAGCTGCGTTCTTTGACTCTGTGGTTTTGGGTGAACTTGAGGTGAAGCTATCAATCTGCACTGCAGAAGATGACAGATGCTTGCGCTCTTCTCTGCAGGCAGGAAGAATAGAAATACAGCTTCTTCACTCCCTCTACTCCGAAAGCCACTCTCCTGAGCTTTAAGGCATGGATCTGAGGTGACTGCTTTGCTTGGTAGAGAACAGAACTGAATGGTACGCCTGAAGGGGCCAAGCTATTGGATCAGGTCAGAGACATTTGCCTGGGTTTGTGGACCAGACAAAGACTTGTCAAGGATCTCCTGGAACACAGATCCTCCCATCATTTGTCCTGCAGAGGAGCTGGGCAGGCTGTACCACAGACACTGATTCCTTCAGACTCATGGTCAGGGCTCCAGCCAAGGGCTCATCTTGTAAGTGGTTACCTTAACACACTATTTAAAATTTGTGGTCAAAGGCAAAAAGTTAGCATTTTTGAGACCTCCTTAGGCTGTGACAGAGGCACTTTGGCAGATCTAGACAGGAACACTCAGATATCTTCCTCATCCTTCTGCTACAAGTTTCTGCCTCAGTAGCAGAGAACATAGAGCAGGGTTTGTTCTATTCCAGACAATATTTTGGCATCTGAGCTCAAACCCAAATACAGGAGGCCTGATAGCTTTATACTGAAAAAGCTTGGTGAAAGTGTGGACATCCTTCAGGGAATGGACAGAAGGAAACACTGATCAGCAACTCTGTTCTGTGGTGACTCTAAGTCCTAGCTTCAAATCCCTCTAAAGCTCTGTCAGAAATGCTGATCTCCACAGTCATATATTCTGCACTAGGTCTTATGGAATTGGTTTTGAAGAGCTGCAAGCCCCGAGTTCAGTGGAAACACTTGCATAAGACCTGGGAACACATCCTGTTTAAGGGATTAAAATGATACGCATTCATCCCCTTCAAAGAATGACTATAGCTCAGACGTTAGCTTAGATCACAATTTTAATGTTCAAAAACTATAGAGGTAACAGAGAGATTACAGAACATAATACATTTTTTTTTTAGTTTATTTACACACTGAAACTGAAAACTGCATCATTTATTTGAACATGAAGAGCACAAAGCATGATGATGGTAGCAGGAGCAAAATGTTACCAATCACTCACTTGAACAATCTATTAGAGATGAGCTCATATTGAATGTACATCACTCAAACTGTATTGTTTGGGTGAGCCTTAACGTACCTTGGGATACTATCAACAGATTTCTATAAACAAGTTCAAGTCTTGTGGAAATATACCTTTACAGTTTGTATTTTGTTGGCTGTAACAGTGAAAACAAAACGCATTATTAATTTGAAAAGCTCCGTAGAAGTGACTGCATGTAATTTTTTCCTCAAATTTGTGCTCATGGTGAAAGCAAATGCTATTTCAAGTTTCATTTTCATCCAAGATAATAAACTAAACATGGAAAGAATACAATTATTTTTAGATGCATTTCTCAAGCTTTGCTTTCCATCAATCCTGAAAAACACATTTCCATGCTTTACTAGCGAGACTTGATGCCTGCAGCACCAAGGCTGCACTCCTGTGGAGGCACTCTCAGGACTTACACAACTGTGGTTCCCTTCCATCCCCTGCACCCCGGATATGCAGCCATCCCCTGAACAAAATGCTGGCATCTGCTTCATCATACATACAAAGGGATGTGAAAGCCATCCCTGTGCGGCTGATACTCTCCCGGCACAGGAGGTGCTAGTGTTGTGGTTACAGATAGCAGCATGCCTGAGGCCGTGGTGGGGGAGCTGCGGGGCACAGGCTAAAACTGCACCAATCTCTGTGATTGTTACCTACCCTGGCATGTGATACTTCATGTCTCAACTACATTTTTGCTGGCTGAAAAGGAAGTGCAGAAGTCCTTGTCTGACTTCTATCTGTACTAGTTGACTTCCATGGAAAATATTGATACTGTGCCTGAAAACCAAAGTGACATAATGTAAGGGCAGGTTACTGGCTGCAGCTTACTCCACTTTCTGCATAAGGCTGTGTCAGCGTGCTGCTGCCACCTGACCTCAGCTGAGGAACTGAGGGCACTAAATGTGCCCTGTGCAAGGAACAACTTGCTATGGAGAAACCAGGGAGATGTGCTGCAATTGTACCTAGCAATTTCATTGGACCTTTTCTGTTTTTTTTTTTCTTTCTTTCTCTCTTTCCTTTTTTTTTTTTTTTGGTTTGCTATTTTTACATTAGCAATGTAATTATAATTTCAAGTTCAGGATTTAAATTGCCAACTCTTGGAAGAAAGGAAAAGATATAGATTTTGCTAAGTCTGAAGCTAAAGCATTTGTATTTCTATTAAAATTATTATTCTTAATATGCAGAGCCTATCTCAACACTTATATATCATAGGGGATAAACAACTGCAAAAATATACAGCATCCTATTTATTTACAATATATATATGTACATAAAAATGAAATTTCCTACAGTAAAACACAACTGCATAGATTTGTCTTCAGAAACATAGGCATGTGTACAATTTGTGAATTCTAGACCTTTCCAGCCCTGTACTTTTTATTAATCCATTATCTTTTTTTTTTTTTTTTTTTTCACAGTTTGTTACAGAAATCCTTACATTAGATACAAATAAAACATTCTTTGTGTACCTTATAGGAAATAAGGACTTTCCTGATGCCAAGTGCTCTCGGGAACTGTTTAAGCGAGCAGCCTGGTACCAGGAGATAAAGCCATCTCATGGAACTGCTGATGGACCTGAATACATTCTGCTGTGCCTCTCTCCTAAAGGCACCGGGGTGAAACATTAGGACTGGAGGTGGGATAACACCACATGGAAAGAGTTTTGTTTTGACCAAGATGCTCTTTAGCCTTAATGTAAGGTTCAAGCAAAGAAACGTATTAAATTAATGATGAGCTAGAGAGACCACTTGTTGCAATTGTAAATACTCATAATCAGAGAGAGCTGTGGTGCTTCTGCCTTGTAAGGCAGATGTACAGACAAAACCCATGTAACATCAAAACTGCATTTGCACAAATGACCTGTTCCAAGGGGAGCGCAAACTATGGATCTGTATGCAGCTCAGGACAACAGCCTTCAAGGGTGGGTGTCCCTGCCCCCACAGGATGGGGCTGGCCCTTCCCCCTCATCTCCACACAGGGGCCGGGCACTGCTTGGGTCTGTGTGAGCCCTACTAAAGACCTGTGCACAGATTTGGCACTGGCTCTCTGACCAGGAGCAAGCATCACCCAGAGAGATCACAGCTTTCACGACACTGTTCTCAAATAACAACCCACTGTGTTTTACTTATTAGGCATGTTTGCTGCCAGCCAGAGAAAGGTAGCTGTATTCTGCAACTGAAAGGGTGGTTTAAGCTCAAGACTATTTTCTTTGCAATGTGCTGTGGACTAGGAGAGGCAGCAAGTCTGTCTTTTCAGTGTAGGATTAACTCCTGCGATCTTACTAGAAGCCCCTGCTCCTAATTACTCCTTCCTTGACTCTCACCACTCAGCTGTTGCTATTAAGCAAAAGAGAAGTTTAAAGTATTTTGTTGCACTTACTAGGAGCAATTTTTCATCCAGTCTATGAAATTTGCAGTGCTCATGATAGTGATAAACTCTCTATGAAAAGAAAGCATGCTACCATCTACTAAGTAGATACGGTACTCTGGATCCTATTAATTTAACAACAGAGAAACTCCTACAGCATTTCACTGTGCTCTTTAAATCCTATCTAATATGTGGGACTCGTACATTGTTGGCTACAAGTTCACTATTCCAAATGAACTGAATAACAGCAGTACATTTTACAGATAACCTCATACAAATATTGTCATCCATCACTGATGTTGACAGTTACAGCAGGGTCTATTGCATTCTGTTAAGAATGTATAAACCTGATGAGAAAACAAAAAGCACGTTATTTCACGTTCATTACCACAGACATCAATAAACACATGATTCCTTTCCATAAATATCTATAAATATGATGCCAGTAATCAGCCTAAGCAAAATTCCCTATTTTTTTTTTCCACAGACCCAGAATTAAAGCCTACTTGAAGACTCAATATTTCGGGTATCTGTCTTTCAATATCTAAAATATGCTTTGATGGTACTGTACCTTGGGTAATTTCCCTCTGTGCACACACCCAGATCATTCTTCTCCCTATTTATCCAGTAAAACTCCAGTATACAAATAAATCAGGAAAAGGAAGAAGGCTGAAGAACAAAGAGGGGGGAGAGGGATTGTCATGGAGGAGACTCAGGAAGATGCAAGAAGCAATCAGACATCCAACAGCTCTTCAAGTCAAAGTGTAGTACACAAGACTACATAATATGGGGAAGGGACAGAAGGGAAAACATAGCTGTGACCTTGCTGGGACTCTGTGCAGCAGATCAGACCTCTAGATCCTACCTGGATGTTTGAAAATCACTCTAGGATCTCCTCTTTCACAGCCCCTCAGTGCACAGAGCATCACTGCTCATAGATCAGTAGTAGAAGGATAAAGGGGGAACGAAAGCAGAAGGGCCTTGGAGCATTATGAGGATAACACTATACAGTATTCTCAGGTCTGAGTTAGGTTTATTGGGATGAAATCCAGAGAGATTATAAGGTGCCTTGAATCTTGACACGTGATTACAGCAAGCTAATAATAGCATGATCAAATGGTTTGGGCTGGAAGGGATCTTTAAAGATGATCTGGTCCAACCCCACTGACATGGGCAGGGACACCTTCCACTAGGCCAGGTTACTCAACGCCCCATCCAACCTGATCTTGAACAAAGCCAGGGATGGAGCATCCACAACCTCTCTGAGTAGCCCATTCCAGTGCCTCACCGTTCTCATAATGAAGAACTTCTTCCTTCCAATCTAATTCTAACCTTCTCTAGTTTAAAACCATTGCCCCATGTCCTGTCTCTACAAGCCACAGTAACATGTCTTTCTGATTCAAAGTTAGAAACCGTTCTCCTGCTATGGCTGCCTTTGTGAGTGCCTGTAAAAGGGATGCCACAAATGACATCTCACGCTGGAAGAATCAGGAAACAAGCTGAGAGGAGATGGCAAGCACAGATTCTTCTCTCTAGACTTTCACTAGCACCTGGACTTGTAGTCTACAGTGAATGAGGGCCCACCTGATGAAAGAGGCCCCCCGATGAAAAGGGGACTTCCAGTTTTCTTCTTGCTGTCAGGCTGCTCCAGGGACCTCTCCACATGTTGATGCCTAAAGTCCAAGTAAGGCCCCAAAGTAACCTCTCTGTATGTTACCCTTAGAAACCAACTCTCAAAATCCTGAGAAGGCTTTGTGGTCTCAACTCTCAGTGCCTTCAAGCCATGTAGGACAAAGTGGGGGCAACTGGGGTAATTCAACAGGTCACAGAAATCCCAAGACCCTGAATTTTCCATCCCTAACCTTAAAAACAACAAGCTGTAATGACAGTTTACCCACAGGCAGTGCTGTTAACTACAGGTTCTTCCCACAGCTACAGTGGGAGCCAGAGGGTCACTGCACACTGACAGGTACATCTCAAACATACATTACTTAGGGCATTACTTAGCCCTTGGATGTGACCTAGGGTTCCCTTCAGCCTTCAGGTTTTTTTCAGTAGGAGCCAATTTCATCTTCTGAGAGCAAAACTCAGACACGTTTTTAGCTCACAGGATGAATGATACAAAGTGAACACAATTATGCTGCTGGCAGTGCACTAATAGATGTCTGCTGAGAATGGTCAACAATCATCTGCTTAGCATTTGAATCTCTATAAGTAGTTCTCTACACCAGCTATAAGGCATTAGGCAAATACTCTGTGGACAACAGATACAAGTTACAGTGTTTCTGCTAGTAGTAATTTAATGTCTTTTCTGTGATTGTTATAAAGAATTGATGTGAAATGTAAATAAAACATTTCAATAACGCAAAGTGTTTATGTTATTTGAAAGAAATATTACAGACTTCAAATTCCATTAGAAATCTGGTTAGTTCAGTAGGGTGAGTCAGAATCTGCTCCAAATGCAGATTGAAGTCAGAAACCCTGCTGACTTCAGCGGGAGGGGGGTGAAACACAAGAGAAGCAAATCTCTACAAGGTCACCCTAGGTGTTTACGGATGAATCCAAGAATGCAAAAGACATGAGGTATAATTAAATGTGTAGGTTTTGATAAAAATGGAGCCTGCCATTGTTTTCTGAGAAGAGCAGGGCATTAGTGAACAGTTTGATGCTGGAAGAAAGGCAGACTTCCTATGGAAATCTCTGAGCATCTGCTTCTCTTCAGGTTCAGGTACTCATTGCTGAGCATCCTGGCTATTGGTGGCCGGGTGCAAACTGAAAGGTAGCAGGAAATGGTGGCTGATGATGATCATCCTACTCCAGCTCCTTGTACCCCTTTGCAAAAACACAAACACAAACACACACACACACACACACACACACACACACGCCTGCTTCTCAAAGCAACAAACGAGCCAAGCCTAAGGCTGGCTCCTCCACTGCAACATTACAGAGAGAAGCACCAGATTTAGGACCTAAGTTTATACAGCGCTCATTTATGCTCTGATGGTGATTTCTGTATCCATATCCAGAATGCTACACTTAGTTGGTGAGGCAAATGGTGTACAAAACAGCGAAAGAACAAAGAAACAAACAAACAAACAATGCATACAATTCAAGAGCAGTTTTTGTTAAAATGCAATGGGAAAGGGAGTGTACTGATGACATTTGGGATAATCACTCCAGCTGGAATTGATAACAAATGTTGCTGCTCTAAAGGAGCAGAGCTCATGGTTCAAGGGCTAAGAATAATAACAGAACAATGCAGTTCATGGGTGGAAGTGGAAAAACAAATTGTGATGAATTCCTATGAGCAATACTCTACATAGTCTTGCAGACAATACAGAATTTATGCTGATCTGATAACTCAGTATTGTGGGACAGAGTGATATGCCTGTTGGAATAACGGGTCTGTTTTCTGCAAGAAAATACACCCAAAACAGCATATTCAGTACTGGAAAATCATTACTTGGATTTGATTTGAGTAAACTCACAAAAGGTAGAATAGATAACAGAACGGATGGTTGCGATTTTGGTGTGTAGCAAACAGGCATGTCTCCTTTTCAGAAGGTCAACTTCAGTTGCTGCCTTCAGTACTACCTCCTGACTGTACCCAGTCGTAGATGACCAATGGGATGCTCACTAGGGAAAACATTATCCCCAGTGCCAAGAAAAGGGAAGCCTGAAACAAAAAGAAGAGAAAATTAATGAACAAAAATAAAAGACAATTAATTCAATTGTGTTAACTTTTCTTCTTAAGGAGATTTACAAGGTGAAGTATCAAAACCATGAGCTAAAATGGGATATGTCTTCTGGTGAAGACAAGACCCATAGATAATTAAACAGATTACTGTCATTAATAATTACGTGCTGAACATCAAAAACAATTTTTCCCCTTTCAGTTCACTTGTTAGATGCCAACCATCCCTAAAAAGGATTAAGTGAGTCTGCCTTTAGGACTTATCAGCTCCATTCTTCTCAAAGCCTGGATGCGGAACGTGCTGTATGCCTTCTGATTCAGTATACTGAAAGGACACCCACATCTTGACTAAAACTGTGGCTGCTTGCAGAGCTTCTGCTCCCCAAGAGGGAAGAGTTCCTCACTCCACAGAGAAGGGCCCTGGTGCAAAGGGGAGCCATGCACCAGGAGACAAACGGCAAATGAAAAGGGGCAAGTGAGGCTGCCAGCTAATGGAGGCAAGAATGGAAAGTCAGGAGAAGCAGCTTACACATGTTCAGATTAAGCAGACTTTCTATCTAACTCATTTTAAGGAATGACATGCAAAATGCTTTGCATAGACCAGAAAGGAATGCATACCCAAATCCTCTGAGTAAATTTTCCTCCATCCTGATGTGTAATTTTTAAATACAATGATGAAGGAAGAATGAAAATCAGCATATTGGCAGAAGTGACCCCTGCAAAATTCAAATGAATGAGTATTATTAGTTACCAACACCATAATTATGTTGCTAATTAGCAACAGTTTTTTACTGGTAGTACAAAGGCAGGATACTGTACCTACGACTCCAAAAATATCCTTCATGGTTGGGATAAAAATGACCAACAGGTTGATGATAACCAGAAGAACAAAAGTAACCAAAACATGATGGCATAAGTCAAACTTTGTTTTTCTTGCCAGCTCAAATAATGATGAACGCACCTATAGGAAAAGAGAGTTCTCTGTTAGGAGCAGTCCATCAGCCAGTTCAAGGCCCCCCATGATTATTTTATCCAGTTCTTCATGTGACAACAACCTCTACATGAATCTGGCAGAAAATTTATGGACTCTGATGTACTACTGCCTTTTGAAATAATCCTTGCAATTATTCTGGTATTTCAAAAATGTATGTGTAGATGCATCTGAGGGATATTCCTCCCTTTCTACCATGCCTTTTGGGATAATGAACTTCACCTCTCAGCCTGCTCCAGTGAAATCATGTGAAGGAAGAGAGGGCCTTTGTGGATTCAAATTAAAACTAAAAGTGGTTCATTTATTTCCTGCAGGGAGAGGCTCTCCAGAAGTCACCGGGAATCCGGTGTGGGAAAAGACTGATCCAAGCTCAAGTTGTTTTGTAGCTGCAACATTAGTGACTAGTAAATGGTTGGACTGTTTTGAAAAAATCCAATGTGTACAGAGATCACTTGCTTCCAAATCATGTGGAGACTTTTACTTACAGTGAAAAACAGCACTGGCACAGTGAGTATAACTGCAACAATCACAGCCAAGCGCACCGTCAGGATGAGGATGTCATTTTTACTCTGGTACTTGTGAAGCAGATCTGACTGCACATTTTCTATGGAAAAGACAATTAGGTAAGACTTCTGGCAAGGAGGCAATTAGTTTACAAAAATCATTGCTTAACAACAGACTTCTTGAACAACAAGTGATTTATCTGCAAACAAGAGTATGGAATGAACATTCTTGAGTTAAAACAGCATTTTGAACCAAATCTTAATGATCTCATTATTCCAGATTAATCCTTTGGAGGACTGATTAAGTAATGCATCCTAATTCAAGACGGCACATGCTTAACTCTAAGGTGATTTTCACTGTAGGAAAGACAACAGTGAGACATACACCAAAATTTTCTTAAATATATACATATATATATGAAAAATAATTAAAATAAAATAAGCTACTTCTAATCAGTTCTGTGGACTTGTTTTTAGAGTTTGAAATAATATAAAAATAACCACATGCACTGCAATGGCTGAGTTAAATATAAATTACAGGGTTGAGCTAAATTAGTCAAAACAGCCAATAAACTCCCAGTACAAAGCAGTGCCTCTGTTTTCAAACAAGAACAAAACCTGAGGTCAGCTCCCTGTGGGATGTTTTGACATCTGCACTCACACCCCTGGGCAGCTCCACAGAGGGCTGCCCTTCTGAATTTTCTCTTAAACCTGTTGCCCCTTACAGTGCCCACAGCATAGCCAGTGCGTTCTGCGCAACCAGCGTGCCCAAGGGAGCATGCTGGGGTGCTAGCGGGAAGGCACTGGCCATGCTTTAAAAAGCCCTCCTGCAAAAATGCTCCCTTTGCACTCCGTTTAAATACTGATAATGGACAGGGAAAGCAAGTTGTTGGGGATCTATGTGCTTGCTTTGTGTCTTTCTAGTATTTAGGCACGGCAACTCGGGGAGGCGGCTGTGAAACACACCACAGAACCACACTCGCTGCCCTGTTTTAGAACAGCTTGTATTTTGTTTCTGTCTGCTAATCTTAGAAGGCTGACAGTAAACTGTAATAGCTCTTAAACCGAAGTCCTTAAGCGGAACTCGGTGGGCATGTGTAGATCAAAATCTTGGTACAACCTCCTCTATTCTTGAAGGCAGAGAGCCGCCCTGCAGCGAAACTCCTGTGCTCCCCCCGGGGCATCCTCCTGGGGCGAGACCACCTCTCAACACCTCTCCGCAGCGCCTGAATTCCAACCAGGAGAAAAAAAACACTCTCCCACCTCCCTGCAGGTTAGGAGTGGGATTTTCAAGCCGGGCACATGCACAGCTTCTGCGACACAGAGCTTACTCTGCTCCTGCGAGCACAGACTGCAACTTCTGTACCGCTCACGGGCTGCAGCCGGGTAGGAAGTGAAAGGCAAGGCTTACAGTTGAAGGTCTGTTTTCCTTTCAGCTAGATACACCACAGAGCCCAACCACAGTGACCTTTTAGGGGAAGAAAAACACCTCTTTTCTGTAATTCTGCAATGTAAATATAGTCATAACTGCAATACTTTCGAGAACACAGCAAACAGACAAGCACTACTGGTGTAAAAATGAAATGGACAAAATAAAAACCCTGGTCTTACCCAGCTAGGGAAGAGGTTAGAAATCTAAGTGCACATACAAAAGGCAAAATCTTAGTCCCAGGGGCAAGTAGGAGTGGAGTGGAGGGGGTCAATATTCCCTAGGCTCTTTTTTGTGTTGTTTCTTGTGGCACTAACCCTGAGATCTCCAGTTTGTATGAGCCCCAGTGGAGCTGTGTGGAAGCACATGGTGTCCATGTGCAGGGACGCCTGCTCCATGTGGGAAATTCCTCTCCCTCCCAGGGGTCAGGAGGATGCAGCCTCTGCCTTCTCCTTGGGGTGTGAGAGGTTCCCAGGTCCCTACGGGTATCTGCCTCCTTACATCCCTGGGGTGACCTCACCAAAATTTCCTTCCTGCCAAGACAAAGGGTCCGTGGGAGTGGGTCCGTGCTGATTCACTCCCACTGCCCTCCTGGGGCTACTGATCTGAAGTGTTTCTGTAAGCGTTCTAGCAAACAGCAGACAGATGAGAACAGCTGCTGCTGCTGTCACTTGTAGCAGCTCTCACTTCCATCAATTTTACTGGGAAAATCACAACTGAGGACCTCAAATTACTTCAAGACGAGAAGGCTCAAGGCATTATAAGCCTGAGAAAATCGAGATAGGTACACCTTTGGAAAAAAAAAAAAAAAAAAAAAAGCCAAATTTCCTATTTACTTATTTTCTATCTCTTGCAATATGTGGCTCACAATGCATGGTGTCACAAATGGGGAGACTGTAACAAAAAGGTCACTTGGGATATAGAATATACAGTGAAGAAGACTGATGACCTTTAGGTGACTCTGAGATAAAAGACAAATGTCAATTGAGTCATCTGTCTCATAAGCCCTTAACGGCCTATGAGCAAACACACTGCACTTCAACTTTTCCATGATACTGGGAAATGGAAGTAGCTTCCTGGGCCACGTTCATTTTTTATCCTATTTACTTAATAATTATATCTGTTCCTTTAGGACAGCAATACAACACAATTTGTTTGTTTCTCTAACTTAACCAATATTTAAGAAGAGACACAGTGCAAGCCCCAGACACTGCAATAGCCATGCTTGGCTGCAGAGCTGGGACAACCTCTGAGCTTCTCCACCCTTTGCAGCCAATTTATTTAACCAAAAACCGAAGGGGTGAACCCTAGGGACACAATGAAAATATGTGGTGTTTTGTCTATGATGAAAACGTCAAATAAGAAAGCAAAAAATCCTGCTTCATTTGATATCCTGACTCATTTGATATCCAATTCCTAGGACCTGTTTTCAAACCTTCCTGATTTTATACAGTCACACATCAATGCATACAAAAAAAAAAAAAACAAAACCCAGGTAAGGACCATGGAACAAAAGCCTTGGTAGGGTCCAGCTAATCCACAGTTCCGCTAAATAAATCTTCCTCATACTTTGAATATGCCTTCTGTAAATTTTCACTTGTGCTTCTCATCTCAGGGGGAGAGGAAGGGTTTATACCTTCAGTATGAAAACCCTAAGGAAAAATCTTTGAAAAAGTATTTTAATGTAAGTGAATGGGACTTTCCAGTTGGGATTCACTACTGATTTCATGTGTATTCTCTTTCTGCATACTTACCATAGAAAGTCAAATAGCCAAATATGGCAGTCATAAAGTACATCACAAACATGGCAAAAAATGAGATATTTGAAACCAACTGCATTTTTTTCTGTGAACGGCTGGAAAAAGAAAAAAAGAAGGCATATAAAATGGTTGGATTGCATTTCTGAATAGCTGTTTAAAAATGTATCAAGTCTTTGCATAAACATATCAGTCCTGGAGAGACCCATGAATTCATTTTCATTTAAAACAGGCATTCATTGACAGCTGCACAAGGAAGAGAAAGGTGGGAGCAATGGATTTTGGAGTTTAAGCCCAGCAATGCTGTAACCACTCCATGGCTCTGCTCCCAATCCATACTCTTGTAAACAGAGGGAAGAGAAATTTGAGTGGGCAGGGAGAGCCCTTAAACACTTCAGCAATTAAATTAAAAGGCCAAAGTAAAGGGAGAGTAAACATACACACAGAAAAAAAAAAAAAAAAAAGCTCCAAAAACAACATTCTGAATGTTTGCAGAAAAAAATTTGTATTGCCATGAGTAGAAAATAATGGATGCATACAGACCACTGCAGATCCGTAAAATAGATCAAGTGTAAACATTTCATTTTTAGATATTTGCTGTGAAACAGTATATATATACATCTATATAGAGAGAGACTTTTAAATACATGCAGGCATGCCCTAAAAAGGACCCAGAGAACCTGATGAACTCAAGTGAAATACAAAGTGCCCAGCTTTGAGCACATCCTGAGGGTCCCCATGGGTTTGGCTGTTCATAACCCTCCCTTTGGTGCCTCCTTCCCACGTCCAGGGCCCAGGGCTCCACACCAGCCCCATGCAGCCAGGCTGCAGCAGGGCCAAGCTCCAGCTCTGCGCAATCCTGCCCAAGGCCACAACAAGTCGGCCATTCTGGTGACAACACAGTAGCATAGGCAAGGCTGAAAATCATTTTTGTTTCCGGTAGCACACCAGATTTTTAGTTACACTGGAACAAATACCGTGGGCTGAACACACGTCTCCTTCCTATGCAAAATAACAGCAGTCGGCACGACTTGGCTCTCCCCAGGCTGCCATGTACTTCCAGAGAAAACTCCTCATGTATTGCATTATCCTCAGCTTTTCTCCACCCCAACGGCACCTCTGGGAGTCCAGCTTTCCTAGCTGACGGCCACACTCATTGACTTGTTTGCTTTTATTGAAGCACATCTCTTCCGAATGGCAAGAATGACTCAGAGCACCTCTGCACTAACATTTTCCATGCAAAACAGTGAAAACAATTAACAGGAAAAAAAAAAAAAAAAGGAGAAAGGCTTACTCTTTAAGTTCGCTGTAAATTGGAAGGACTGATGGGTGGCACACAAATGCGAAAGCGATGGTTGGCAAAGCATACACAGTCTGTTCAGAGAGAATTTCAGACAAAAAGTTAAGAAAAATAAGTATTTTTCCCAGCAGTATGAATAAATGGTCTGTGTTGAACTACCTCAGCTCCCAGCTATCTGGACTCTTCAAATAAATGTCGAGAACCCTTTTCGGAGAAGGCAGGAGACCTGTCAGCTGGCACATATTTAACAAAATATGGAGAGCAAAACTCTTCCAAGAGGAGGACAATATCTTGGTCTTGGCCACCCAAGCCCAGTCCTGATTTTGTCCTCAGTGCACAGCAGTGTATGCCATGTGGCTGTGGGACTGCTCCCAGGCAGGGGTCTCCCTGCCCAGCTACTGCCACCGCTACCAACACGCTGCCACGTATAACAGGGATGTATGGTGGATCAATGCTACACTACCCTGCCTCGGAATGGAGAGGGGTGCACACCCATGGTGCTAAGGCTGAAGTCCTGGAGATGAAGCCCATTTCCAGACTGTAAGAAAAGAGAAGAGGAATGCAGAACTTACAAATAAATGGATATTTCAAGGTACCAGACAGAGCCCCTTCATTTCCCAGGCCAACAAAAGGGCTAGGAGGACTGTGGAGGGAGCATGCTTTTCCTTGGGGAAAGAGAGAGACCGTTACGTCACTATGAAGCACAGAGGGCCTCTGAAGGGAACCTCACCCACTGCTCAACCAAAAATCTGAGCAGGTTTCAGCGGTCAGCATCTGGCCAAGCTTTACAAATGATCTCAGAGCTCAAGCACTTCCATTCTCCCCAGGAAACTAGTATGAGCTGAGATCACATGAAAAAAGTCCTCCTGTTAGGATAAAAGGAGTCGATCCCTACAAGAAGCTCTCCCCACTGCTCAGAGGTTTCCTCATGTTGGCCAGAGGACACTTATCACCACAGAAGCCATCCTAGGGCTGCCCAGTGGGGTGGAATTCAGAAAGCACACTGGTTGCTCTCCAGTGGGGCCTTTCCACACCCTGACCTGTGCTGCTTTCTCTGCTTCATTCCCAGTGCACTACTGTGGAATCTCCATCCCTGGAGATATACAAAAGCCATCTGACATGGTCCTGGGCACTCTGCTCTGGGTGTCCCTGTTGAAGCAGACTGACCCAGAGGTTCCTGCCAGCCTCAAAATGAATCTCCTCTCATGTACCGAAGTTGCTAAAGTGATTGGCAAATTGTTGGCCCTGAGAGCAAATCTCTAAAGCTCAAGTCCAGTGTGGCTAATTCAGATTGACTGCTCCTTCTGATGGGCATCCATCAACTCTGAAGTAAACACTAACACTTTAGGAGAACAAGACTGCCCTTTGACATTGCCTGAACTGTACCTACACCTACATTGCTACTGCACACTCAGCTAACTGCTTCTTGGCCAGTCACACTGGATCTGGGCTGATGGCTGCCCCAAAATGAATGAAAGTGCTCATGTTAATTCAAGTTGCTTCTTGCACTGAAGCTGGTAAGATGAATTAAAAAAAATTTTTTTTTGCATGCATATACTATGCATATGAGTTCTCTATGAATGCAGTGGTGATACCCCAAGGAGTGTGCTCTACTGGATAAGGTGCCATTCAAGAGCACTGCAAACCAGCACAGCTGGAAGAAGAAATCCTCTTGCTCCCACAGCTACAGCCAGTTACTCTTTTGCACCTCTTGGCACAGCATTTTGTGCAGCTGCACAGTGATCAAGGAAAGCATCCAGCTGAAAGGCCATCAAATTTTTGCTTTCAACTGTATCCTTTTTCCTCATCTTGTTCACCACATGGCTACAGAAACATATACCCTGTCACAAAGAAGTGGTTTGTGTGCAGGACAGATGGATTACTTCTGGCTTTTGGATGCAGGCATGGTTTACAGTTTCTGCTGAACCACAGCCTAAGCACTCAGTTGCAGAATGGAAAGTAAGAAGCAGCAGAAAGGAAAACTCTCATAAAGAAAGCGTTTGTTATCTGGTGGCAGCTCAAGCTCACAGCCTCAGCATGCCTGCTACCAAGGCAGCTCACTCTGTCTCAGTTTCCTGAGGAATGAAGTAGCAGAGCAAGGCTGCAAGGAGCCTACAGGCATCATGGCACCTCCAAAACACTGGGCAAGGACACCTGTCATGCATTCCCATCAGAGTTATGTGTGGAAGCACAGAGGGCAGGCCCTAGGTGGTGCTGAGCTGATTACGACATGGGGTGTAGGTGCATATATTATGTGAATCAAAAATAAGTATCATAAAGAGAAACATACCTTGGAATTAAAGATAACATACTTTGGCTTACACATATGCTCATATGCTGAGCTATTTGATAGGATAGGTGATGTTGTATTTAGCTCCGGTTCGAGACAGAGAATTTGAAACTTCTTGTAAATAACCTAGAACAAGAGCTAACTGTTAAAAATAATACTAAAAAGCAAATTAAAATTAAATTCAGAAATTTTGCAAATCCTATCAAGTGACTAATCCAACAAACAAAACAAGCTGAACTTACCACTACCAGGAAAAATACCATACAGCTTAATGAGAATCCACTGGTATAGCCAAGATACCCTGAAAGAAATTTAAAAAAAAAGGCTATACAAAATATATTTTATTAAACATATATTACTTTTTAATTATCTACTTAAAGGAACAATTTAATGTATTATGTATTTTAAATATATTACAAGCTTCTGGGCAGGACAAAAGCATGTTCATTTGGTGCCTTCCATGTTGTAAGACCCTGAGATTTCAGACAGAGCAGAGCTTTGATCCAACCAATGTGATTTGTGTTTTCCTTCCTGAAGGTCATTGCTATGGCAGTTTAACTAATTTTACTTTTGTGATAATTGAAATAAACTGGAAGATGTGAAATTGCAATCAGAATGTGACCCAGGTTCCCTGTGATGCAGAAATGTGAACTTACTGCAGGTTAATTTCCCAAAAGGAAGATCCCAACAGGAGTTCAGTGCCAAAATCTGTTACATGGTTTTAAAAAATACATAGTGTACCTACTGGCACCCCTGTGGATTCAAACACATTTGAAAATGTGGTTCTCTATACACAACTTACATACAAATTCAGCATTTTCAACTAAGCTAATCACTGAAAAAATCAACACTAATAGAAAAAAGAGTATTTTTTTTGTAATCTTTGTTTATGAACACGTTTTTACATTACACATTATATAGTCACCTTATCAAATAAACACTCTCCTAACTATAAATTTAAATCAATTTCCACAATTTCATGGATGAAATTGATTTATTTTGATCATTCCAATGATTTAGGCCTTCTTGTTCCAAGATGCTCATAACAAAGCATACTCCCAAACCAGGAATATACTCTCATAACAGTGACAGCACAATTTTTAACTTTCGTTTGACTTGCCAGTGTGGCTGTGAGAGGTGCAATGTCTGGGCTCCTGTATTTTATTCCTGCGACGGCATTTGCATCTTACCTAAGTTCTTAAGGAGACATAAAGGGAGGATGATACCAAATGTCACTGCAACAACAAGAATCCGCCCGTCCACGTACCATGCCCTGTATAAAACATTTAAAAAGTACCATGAACACACCCCAAAACCTTTCTGGCATTTCTCAAACTCTGCTGACCTCTTTGATCGCTGCAGTTACAGGAGTATCTTTTTTATCTTTACACTACGGCAGGGGAGATGGGGACCATGTCTGAACGTTGCAGAAGGGTACCAGAATCACTCAACATTCAGCTCTTAAAACATGACACTGCTATGACTCAGATGCAGCATTAATGATGTTCTGTGTGTTGCATTTCCACTGCTTTGGCCAATTTAGTATAGAAGACTGAGGAATGGGATCTCTGTTTTCTTCTGGTTCTCTACAATACACTATGAAACCCAGTGTAAAGGATATTTACTACTGTAGAAGAATACCATCTCTCTATAAAATAAGCTGGTAAGTGTCAAGTGACAATTGGCAGAAATCTAAGAATAATTTTCTGCTAATGTCATATATTAGTATAGAAGAATTTGAAACTATCGACAGTGCTTCAGGGGCAAAAAAAAGTCCTGTAAGATGCTAAGAATACAGGGAAATATGTTAAACTTGCACTGTTCCCAGAATCTACAAATGTTACCAACACTCTAAAAGACGTAAGTCGTAATCCTGCACTAAAATCTGTTGTGCAAAGAGTAACTGTTGATGACTTCATCTTTCATTTTCTATCCATCCTCTTTTCCTTCCCAAAGTTTTCTTGTTTGTTTTTCACTCGCAGAAATATTTCTGTGAAGATCTACTGTTGTCAAGCCTAAAGAATACTTAAGAGTTTTTATAAATGTTTACTTAAGCTTCCTTACACAACATTAAATTCTAAAATCATCCAAATGAATTTAACTTACGAAAAATTTTCTTCTTCTCTCATTAGAAACTTTATGGCAGAAGGCAGCTCATTTTTGACTATGAAGAGATAGCTCAGCATTGCTGGAGGAAGAAGAAAGTCACTTTAGGAAACAGATAAGAAATTCTGCAGAGTAAGTACATGCTGAACTTTTTCCAATCTCAGCCTGTAAAGCTAGAAGACCTAGAACTGTAACTGACTATAAACTACTGATTATTCAGTAATAAAGTATTTTTAAAAGGCAATGTGCAAAACATAATTGAGATCAAGCATGAAAATCTCAAGACATTACCAGGAGAATAGGGAACCTGCCTAGTTGGTAGGCATAACTTTATTAAGGTGCTTGTGGCTTGTATTTTTTAATATTCCTCCTTTACCTCCAACATTTTGAAGAGATGTAGATCCAAAGACAATCATTTTCCCTGGGGTACCGAAAACCTGCTCACCAAGCTTTTCATATACCATGCAGCCTGTGTTAAAAGAAATGAGGAGAAAAGTAAAGAATACAATGGCAAATGCTGCTGAGTCAAAACACTTGTGATTCCCTCTCTGCAATCATATCTTCCTGTTGCAACTGAATAGAGAACTCTTTTGTAATTGCTAGGGCTGAAACTTAGGGAGGAATGTTTTCTTGATATCTGAAAATGCTGCCTTTGGCTGCCAATCACTTATGAGATTCCTTTCATGAGTCCACCTACACCTTTAGGGACACTTTAAGTCCTGGTATCCCCATCCTGGCATATTAGTTTTGCAAACTCAATGAGAGAGAGGTTGAAAGCCTTCTCTCCAGACCAAATTCAGTATAACAGGGACCACAGACTGGCACTGGAGTCTGGCCACAACAGACACCAGACTGTAATTCTGTAATTTTGCCTGGTTTGACTAAATGACCCAAATGAAGGCAGCCTCTGTTGTACAGGATGATTTACAGTCTTTAATGATGGTGTTCTTGTGAATTCTAGAATGTGGTATGTTTTTGGTAAAAGCAGAGAACAATGTAAATTGTAACAAAAACTTAATTTTAAATTTCTGTCAAGCTTGTGAAACTCCACTATTAATTGGATTGTGCTTCTGTTAAATGTTTTTTTTTTTCTTTTTTTTCTCTTGGCTGTGATTCAGGCTGAGAAAAAAAAGACTGGACATGGTGAAGCTGTGGACACTCACAAGAACAGAAAGAGAAATACTGCAGATGTTACACTGAACAGATTGTTTTAAAAATGGATCTCATTGTTTGTTTTTCTCTACGTTTCCTTATAGCTGACATTTCTTCTTTGAAGCTTGTATAAACAACAAGATTGACCTTAAATGTAGTGTTGTGTCTGTGATCTGGCTACACAGAAAACAGGGCTTAGATTCTGAGAATTAACAGGGCAAAAGTGTTCACAATTAGGCCTGCACACCTAATTAAATAGGCATTTGCTGCCACTGTACACACCATAATAGTAACTCATCTGCATCCAAATTACATACAAAAATATACTGGCGATCTTATGTACAAATAATTTTAAAAATCTGGCTTCAGTGATTGTTAGTCAAGGAAAGAATCTCTTGGATTCAGAACACAAAGTTATTTAACCCTGTAGATAACTTCTAACTTCTGTGTTTATAAATACATTTTGCTTAGAGATACACTTCCTTCTGTGGAGGAAATGTTCCCTTTTATTTTCTCCAACTACAACACGCAGGCCATCAGGAATTTCACACTAGCCATTAACAACAAGGTGTATTTCCAGGTAAGTTTCGCTGTAGACAAAGATTCATTATATTTCATTTGGAATTGATTTTGTAATGCAAATAAACTGTCTGAGGTGTTCCTTTTATCTTGTTGAAAACAACACTGCACTACAACAGAATTCAGTCTTTGGCATATATATATTTTCTCTTTATAGTGATGGTCATATGCTGTTCTCCTTTGCCATAACATAAATTATTTTAAATACTGGGCTTCTGACCCAAAATCTGGTAGGACTTTTCTTTTGTGCCAGCAAAGTGATGGAAACTCTGTGTTTCACAAAGCACTTGGCTTTATTCTGAGCACTTTTCACCTCTTCTTTAGAATTCCATTGAAATAGTACAATAAAATCTTAGATTACCTGTTTCCTTTGAACACACCAACAGGAGATGTATTGAATAAATAGACAGCAATGTCACAGAAACCAAAAGCAGCCTACAAAAGAATGAAAGATAAAGCTTACTGTAAGAACAGAGTTCTAACATTGCAATACTTTACATGTTGGGTCATTACCACTGATGCCAAGATATTTTTTATAATCCTCTGAGAATGCAAAAACCCCTATAAACAAAAGTGATTTACGTGCTTTTTGCAGTTCTAACACACTACAGAGCAAACCTTGTATGCAAAGGAATTCAACCAAGGAAAACTCAGTAGAACTACGTCCTGCTATTTAGTTATACCCTTCCAAGCTGAAGGAATGGAGATGTTTCACCATATAGGAATTAGGATTTAATCAGAGCAGGAATGAGTAGCATACGTTCCTCACCACACAGTCTAAAGCTTTTTTTTTTTTTTTTTTTTTTTTTCCTGGAAGCCAAGTAAAAATTTTGGATGGAAGTCCTCTATTTAAGGATTTTCGTGCCAAATGTAAGCATCTCTCCTGAAGACACATGCCACCAAAAGTAGCCTCTTGGTGCCCCCGGAATGGGGAGAGGAGGAAGGTTAACACTGCACAGAGCTGTCTTGCTCTGGACAGCTCTTGATGTGTGAATGGGACCTGGACATGAAATCAACTCACTCAGTGAAGAAGGTGGTCTCTAGCTTCCATTAAGACCTTATGCTCACAGTGAGTAATCATGAGACTTGAAGACTCTGAGCTGTAGGTGTTGGGCATTAAGGCAGCTGAGCGGGCACCTGACCCTTCACCTTCATGGCCCAGACTGTCTTTTCCTGGGAGTAGAGGCAGAAACCAAGGCTCGTGCTTCACCCAGGCAGGGACAGGTGTTCCCTCACTGATGTCACTCCCTGTTTTTCTGTGACCCATACTTTGACTTTGCATGTAGAATTGCAGGAAGAAATGACCAAACTGTTTGTGGAGGGATCCTGCTGGCACAAATGATAATTACTCAGTGCCAGGGGGTAAGTACATAAAAATACTTTATTTCATTGCTCTAGGTCTTTTAGCCAAGCACCATGTGTGTCTTCCCATCCAACACTGAACACATAAAGGCCTGACCATGTTTTCATGATGTGTGTGAAGAGCATTCAGACAATCTGCTGGCAATTCCTCTTTGTATTGTGACAGCTACCCTTGGGACACCAAGGAAAACTAGCCGAAAATTTAAAAGAAAACTGCATATCTACTACCATAGATAAGCAGAAAGACATCTCTTTTATTGGAACACATAGAACAGAATGAGAAGCCTCCTCCCTCTCCTTTTTTCTTATTTTGGACTATAAATACTTTTGTGTCAAATAATGACCTACGGGTTTCTTGGAGCCAGAGGAGGAGGGAGAAACACAGAGATGGCAGGAAGAACTGCTCTTTTGCCAAGAAAGAATGATGGTTCACAATAACACAACACTTTTCGAACAGGCCAAAGGGTGTTTCTCCTTGGGGAGGTGAAGGGAAAGGAGACTGCATTGGCTGCTCCATTTTTAAAGATGTGCTAAGCTCTCCTGCTGCCCTGCTTCCCCTGAATGTGTGGAGGCATGGTGCTCAGAGCTGCCATGACTCACTCCCAGTCCCAAGTGGCTCTGGTTGCACAGGCCAGCATCAAGGCTATTTTAATATTAAAGCTCCCGTTTTTCAGGCACTGAGCTCATGGAGCTTTTGCAGTGGTAAAAATAACACTCTCGAGCAGCCAGGTATTTATCTGATCTGCTGTCCTTAGCTCCCCATAGGATTAATTCAGAGAAGCTTGGCATTTTCATTAACGCTGCATGAAGAACTTGTTTGTGTCAGGACTCTCATGCCAGAACCACCCCTTGGAAGGGAATGACAATGTCCATACCACTCATCCTGTGCAAATTCAAAACAGAAGTGGGGAAGCTCATAACTCCCATCTCAGTACTTATTATTTTGCCTAATTTTAAAGCAGTGCTGGCAGCTATGCAAGCAAACAGCACACAAAAAAGTCACCTCCCTTCAACAAATCCAGAATAAACAGCTTAGGGCAGAAGACTGATACAGGGCTATGAAGAACAGACTGTTCCTATGACACCACTTATGTTTGCCAACAGCTGCACTACCAAAGCAGCTGAAAAGGGTACTGTCCCCAGCCCCCTTTGGAGCCCAGACTGCATATTCAGAAAAGCAAGGATCATGCAGTCCTCTCTTCACTCTCTGAACCCCTGTGAGGCATCAGATAGGGAAGAGTGTGAAGAGCAGGGTCATGGCACTGTGTGGCTGCAGCCCAGTGACTGCCTCCAGCCAACTTTAGCAGAGGTGCCTGCAGGGAGCAGTGTGAAGCTCCGGTTGTCGCCTCACACTGCACCGCATCCAACAAGCCCTGTGTCTCAGAAGGGCTTTTCAGCTCCTTTGCAGAGCCAGGCTAAACGCAGGCTGAAGGCATCTTGTGCTTGCCACCCTGTCTGTCTCTGCAAGGTCATCTGTCACTCTGCTACTGGGACTTGGGCGAAACCACAAGCAGAGTGAGCTACCTACAGGTAGCTTTCCCAGCTGACCTGGAGCAACTGAAGCTCCTCAACCTTTTGTGCCATATTTCTGCAGTACAAAGCTTTTCTTTCCTTTTTCATACAAGAAAGGATATTCGTTTCTGATCTAGGTTGGCATTATTAACAATATCAGGATAAAGTTCCTCTGAGTTTCTCAACTGTTTGCCCAGAAAGCCTGACACTTCACTGCATCAATCGGTTTTGTGAATACCATGCGAAAGCACATATTCATCTCCGTATTTCTTTTCCACAAGAATTTAGGATCTGAACTGATTTACTTCACACTGCAGAAGCACAAAAGTTTTGAGAGTGGAAAACAGTTTTGGTCTGCTTTACTAGCCCTGAAAATGATGCTTTAATTTTTACTCCTCTGCTTTCTACTTTCCAGAGATATCGCAAGCCAGTACTGGCAGGCAAACAACTTGGACAAGGCAACCCAGAAACTTTCTACATTTCTGCTATTTAGGAGTAATGAATATAAGTGCTTTTTCATGTGCAAAAAGCATATGAATTTTTTCCAAGACTTTATCCTTTATCACTTATAAAGAAGAGACAGTTCAAAGATATACTTGGAATAAAGAGTAGAACTATACATTTGTCAAAAAAAAAAAAAAAAAAAAAAAAAAAAAAAAAAAAAAAAAAAAAAAAAAAAAGCACTGAATGAGAGTAGGACCAAAACTGTAAAAGCATTGGTCTAACTTTGAGACTAAATTTTCAGGCATAACTACAGGAAGTACATTAGGATGATCTATCTCCAGGCTTCAAAAGCAAAATCTCAGCTAGACTGGTCAGCTAGGTCCTGCTAGCTTTCTTACCTTTCATCTCAGCAGGCTGATCCATCTCCAAACCAACAGGTCTAAAAGCAACATAAAGCTATCTAAACCAATTATCCACTCTTGAAATCCACAATCTGATTCTGTAGGAAGTAGCGCTGTTATTTTCTGTATAAAACTAGCAAACATTTAGTTTTGGCAGATTTTGAGCAGTTAGATAACACACATCTACACACTCACTACTCAAACCAAGATGAACTCAGTCTCCACCACAGGTTGTTAGAAGTTTCTCCAGTGTTCACACCACTGGCCTGATCTTGAAAGAAACTGCCTTTCTACATCCTTGAGAGCAAATGCACTTCACTTAAACTCTCACAAAAACCTGTTCACTGAGAAAGATAGAAGAGAATGAGATTACTTACAGAAATATAAAGCAAGTGAAGGTGAAATTGAAGATGCCTATGATGCCCTCTTAAGAAGTAAATATAGAAAGTACTACTCATTAGCTGAGACACTATTATCTCAGAAGAGGCAACTAGACTGAGCTTTTTTTGGTTGCAAGAGTTTCTGCAGACCTCTGTCTGCGTCCTCAGAGGTGAACTGATCAGAGTATGGTGGAGTATCACAGAGAGGTTAGTATCACATGTTGGTTAAAATCAGCAAAACTGAAGTAAAATCAGTCCCCCCGCATAAGAAAAATCTAAATTTGAGTCCTGCAGCTTTATTGCCTAGCTTAGTTGCAACACAATAATGAGGCTTTGTACATTCTTAATGTAAGTGGATTAATTCCTCGGATTATTCCCAGATTTTACCCAACCACTGCAAACTGTACTCCAGCAGCATGGCTGCAGCTATACTGGCACAAAATCCTGGAGCAGATGGCTTACATACCACTTTGGCTACTCATTCTGCTATATGCACAGCTCACATTATAATTTTTCCCCAAAAAACCTAAGAAATGTTAAGTTCTAAATTTTTTAGGCCCTGATGTTTAAGAAATGACACCTCTGTATAGTGATCTGTAAACTTAATAACCGTGTTGAGCAGTTCTCAAATACTGTAAATTATTGTGTTTCTTCTCTCAATGAACATTTATTACTGGAATCTGCACACAATTCCCAACTGATTTCTTAACAATCACTTTTCACAATGAAATGCCTCATGCTGCAAACCAAAATAACACAGTATTCTGTGTCTTATTCATTCATTGGCACTGTTTCATTTTTAAACTATAAAATTCTGTTTTATGAAATGCTGCTTTTTTTTTTGGTAAAGTACTCTACCTCAGCTTTTTTTTTTTTTTTATACTCAAATCTTGGCTATATTTATGTTGGCTTTTAAGGACTCTCACATAAGAAGCTGAAGAAACTGTAGGAGTGAGATGAAAATATTATATCTGACATTTAAAAGAATATAAATATTCCCTTTTCTTGCTTACAAGATTAGATATTGCATCATGTTTTGCTGAAAGCTATAGAGACTCTGTGACACAAGTAAGAAATAAGTACTGTCACACTGCAAGTATTACTACTGAATAAATTTGCTATTTTCAATATATGTGCAATTTGTAGACCATAGGAAAAGTCCCAGGCTAGGCACAAGTCAGCAGTTGATGACATGGACTTAATCTGCTCTAGAAGCATAACTAGTGTTTTTTTTCCCCATTATCTTGACTGAAAAATAAACATCTGAAAAACGTTGCTAACATTTTCAGGCTTGAAAGTTGTAGTTGAGTATTTGAGTTCATTTTTAGACAGCATCCATCCAGCAGTACCCTGAAATCCAAGCTACTTATACAGGTCGGCTACTTCACGCGATGAAGAACATCACATTTCCAATGGACCACCAATCACTCTACTTGCTCACAGAGCAGAGATCAGCTCCTCAACCCATTCACACTTACGAAAAAAGGAAGATTCCTGTGTTGGCCAATGCAAAAGCAAGGCCTAAAATGCCACTGCCCATGATGGCGTTGCTGAGGTTGAAGACAGACATTCCCAAAGAAGTCGTACCTGGAATCTGGAGAAACAAAAGTTTGTGTGTCAACAGGAGTTTGGAAAAGAGCACAGGAATGCCCCTACACCCCAACCTGCAGGCTATGTAATAATCAGATAGAAAGATCTACTACTGTGGAAGCACTGTGAGGTTTGAAAGAAAAAAAAGGCCACTGCTCTTTTTCACGCTTATATTCTGATCACTGCCCTACGGATTTTGTAAACTCACATCAATACAATGGGCAATATACAACTCATACTTACAGTCTGAACTTTAAAAATCCATCTCTTGTCACGCCTGTGGGACATCTTAGGTGTGCGAGTGATGCATTATAAGGCTGTGGGGAACAGTCATGCCTCCTGCCCAGCAAGGGTCAGAGGACTTTCCTTGCTTGAACCAAAATGCTTTTTGGGTTTTTTGGATTTCAGCAACAAATGCCTGTACTCAGCTCTTTTGAAGACCATGTCTAAGGGCTTTCCGCACATGACAGACAGTTCATATAGACAAAGGGAAAGCCTGCAAAAATACTTACATATCACATTTCTTCTTTTCCAAGAATACTTACATATTCATCACATTTCTTCTTTTCCAAGTGGCTGTTTGTGAGACTTCTCCTGCTTTCTCGGTCCGAAATAAACTTGCTGAAAGAAGTCAGAGGATTAATTTCCAGCAAAGAGCCATTAGAAAATGCAAACAAGTTAATTCCATGAGCAGCACGTGATCACAAAATACACAATGTATACAAGCTGTACACAAGAAAATGTCAAGCCTGTAACTGTTAAAGGAACCCAATTATGCTTTCCTGATGCCAGCACAGACTGGGTGTCAGTAAAAGTACCACTAGATCAGAATAAATATGTAGGGAGAGGTATATTAGGAGATCTAGTAAGGAAAGGGCACCAACAAGCTGCTGAATACAAGCCCTCTGTTGCTACTGTGGGGTTGGTGTGGTTGGAGCTAAGAGGAGGATGAGGTGCTGCAGGCAGTAGCATTGCTGGGGCCATTCTGAACCAGGCCATGTGCTCTGTGGGTGTGCCCCAGGTTGGAACTGCTGTATGGTCAACAAGAAGCCCTTCAAAACAGTATCAAATTCACTACACTGCAAAAATCAAACATCTCTGTACAGAGGAACATGAGCTGCATGGCTTTTCTTTCTCTACAGCTTTACTTGCTCTCTATCCCTAATACAGACAACGGATTTACAACACTTCTGATTAGGGTAAGCTGTTAGTTACTCCCAGACCCACTCTTCAGCAAACAATTTTACTTTGCGTAAAACATTCTTTCAGCTATTCATCTTCCAAAAGTTTCTGCACAATTAAGTCCCTGGCATCTCTGCTAATTTACAGATGGTTCTCTGGCACTGCCTATAGCAGCCTTCGTTCGTAAAACCTACCTATCCAGTGGTTGTCACCAAGCTTCCTTTTTTTCTGTGGGCAGATTACGGTGACTTTTAAAGCAAGCAGTGAGCTGAACACAAAGTCCAGCCCTAATAGCCCTTTCCCACAGCTGGGAAGATTTCCTGACCAAAGATTCACAGTTCTGACTCTCTCTGTGCAATTATTGCTGTTTTTGTGGCAACTTTGATTCCTACCATCAGTCTGCTTCGATTTGCTTTGTATATAAACCAACCATAGGCTTCTCCTTTATTTTTTAAACAGTTAACTTCAGAAACTAATTTGCTGCAAAATACAGATACCGAGCCAATCTCGAAAGTCCTAAAGCAGTTGGAATATACAGCTGATCCTCCCCCAGTGTTTTAAGGAGTGAAAAGCAATCACGGCTAAAGTGAACCGATCCAAAATTAACTTTCTGAATCTCACCAGGAAGGCATTTTACTCTGATGGAATAAAATCTCAACCCGACCTTCTGTAGATTCATAGTATATGGGTTTTTTTTTCCGTGTCTGTTTAAAGCTGGGCACAGGCGGCTGAGTGTGAGCGGTCTGACAAAGACATTCCAGCTCCCTCTCGAAACACCCTGCAGGCAATTTGTACAGGCAGGAGCGCAGAGAAAAGTTTTGTCTCTTTTGTGTTTCTGAGCGTTGCTGGGAACATCTGTGGGCTTTGCCTTCTTCTGTCAACCACGGAGATCATGTGTCATTTCAGATTTTGTCAAAGTAGGGAGAAGTCAGCTGCTTTGCTCCCCCTGCTCCTGCTCAGCCCCGTGCATTCATTCTATTCAATTATTACAAAAATAACAAATCTGTAGATACTATCATTACCGCCACCTGGCATTAAAGATCAATGAAAATTGTTAAAGAGCTAGTACATGACAAAGACTACATCCAAAAGATACTGTTCAAATGTAAAGCAATTTTGGAATTTTTCATTTCAATACTTTCAACTGAAATGAGTTTTTATAGAATTGGTATTTTCAGTAGGTAACAAATGCATTACTTCCTTCCAGATGGGCAGTGGACAAAACATCTGGTTAGACAAACTGATCCAAAGTACCTTCTCTGGAGTTAGCCATGTTAAAATCCTCTCATCTCCTATACAAGGTGTGTTATTCATCCACTCCACATTTACCATGTTGCAGTGCACACCTTTTCTCTGTCTCTGCTGCACAGTGCGTATGGGCAGGCAAAGTCAGACACAGGAATGTGGCTATCATGACCTTCTGTGAGAGGCACAGCATCGCCCAGCTTGCACAGGGCTCTTCCTGGCCTGCCTGCCAGCTGGGGCTGTGACATGTCCGTCTGCCTGTCTGCGGCTACACGCCCTGCTGCAGGCAACGTAACTGGCAGGCCTGGACAGGAAGGTTGCCTTGGGTCAATGCTCAGTAGGTGGTATGGATGCATCGTGGGACACCCCATGCTGCTCATAAATGGAATGCGTTGCTGAACTCAAATTCAAAAAGAGAAAATAAAAGGTGAAAATAAAAGAAAGTAGGGAGAAGGCAGACAAACGGATTCAACAGAAACTAATCTTCCCAATATATGTTTTTTTTAATAAATGTTTCACTTTTTTTTTAAATCTAATTTCAGGATGTTTCCTTACTACGGTATGTAAAGGAGAACATAGACTGGAATACTATAATTTCTTATAAATCATGCCTTGCATCTGCTCTGCTCAACAGATGTGCTTAGAAAGTGAGCTACTCATTGTCACAGCGATGTATATTGAGCTTTACAAATCTGACTTGAACAAAGCAATACGACTGTTTGCTGCGGATCCTCCCAGCCCACAGAAGGATTATAGCCAGTGAGAGGTCCTACAGAAATGCACAGTGAGGCAGCCCATGCCTCCAGTGCCCTGTGGCCCCTGACAAGCATGAAATCCATTTGGGCTGTTTGTTGTCTTCATTTTGAATGCTCTACTCATCATACACAATCATAACTCATTCTCCTATGCTTCTGATTTCCTGGTGTGCTTTCTACATCAAAGTAAAGCATGAACAGTTTATGCAAAACTTTTCAGATGCATTTATAGAATATCCTGGTCAAAAGATGATCAGCTCATCCTTATGATGAAAGAAGCCTCACGGTTGGCTTGGAAAGAATTCTGTAATCCAATTATTTTTCTGCCTTGTTTTAGTGAAAAGCAGAAGCTCAGTCTTATTGATAAAGTGTTTTTAAAAGGACCGTACTTAACCACGGTCTCCGAATTTAATTTACTAAAGGACTTAAATGAGAAATATTTGATAAAGGTGATATCCTGGAGCTAACCATTTTGGCTAAGCAGAGTTAAAACCATTTAGCCATCTCAGATACGTTTAAACATAATTAACTTAAACTGATACTTGACAATGCCTTAAACATTTGTTAGGGAAGGCTCATTTTGCCAAGATGACAGAACTCTATCCTCAGGCGGTTTCTTAAACGGAGCTGCAGCTTGAGCGATGGCAAAGATTTCCAGGGCAAGCAGGAACAAGAAATGCAGAAGCTTGCTCTGGCTTATACTATGAAACTTTGACTAGATCTGGGTATAGCTACCAGCAACCTTGTCAACCAAACAAGGAGCGTTCATAACTTACCCACAGCTGCAGACTAGGACAAGCATCCAGCCAGCAGCTTCCTGAGAGCATCATCACAGGTACAGATCCAAGTCTGCTGAACAGCTTAGCAGATCTGTCCTGCTATCACAGGAAGCAATAGGTCATCTACGCATGATTTATGTCATGTTCAGCAATGGCAAAGACGTGTAGCCAGGAAGAATCGTTAAAAGATGGCAAACCCATATCCAGAAAATATTTCAGAAAATATTTAACACTTGCATGCACAGAAAAACCCCTCCCAATAGAGCTTCTCCCAAATAATATAACATTCCTGCATATACAAATGCATATTCAGGCCCAGAAAATGCTGGAAATCTAAAGGGAACTAGAGAATTCTTTTCTAAGATAGGGAAATATTTGGGGTTTAAATCAACTTCTTACTGCTTCACTGTCCCCAAAAGACTCTTAAAAATGCTGTTCTACATTCTGCTTGAAAAATTATGCACTGGGAAAAAAAAGGTTCAAAATGAAGTACAGAGTGCGAAATCAAACGAGCTGAAACAACTGAAAAAAATCAGTTGAAAATTACAGATCTAATCTAAAGCGCAAGTGAAATCAACAAAAAAAGTCCCACTCATATTGGTGGACTTTGGCGTTTCACAAGGCCTTACACCATGTGTACAATGGCACGAAATGTGAATGTCCATACACCCCTTAACCTCATATTACACAGAGCCTGGGTGTTTTCTGACACAGCTATGGGATTTCCATCAGGGACTGGAAAACGATGGAATATACTCACATACTTGAAGAGCCAGAGCAGGATTTAGAAATTTTGTCTCAGTTCTGACACTTTCCTCACCCAGTTTTTATTCCAACTCAACCCTGCTCAGATGCTGCCACGCTCACAGCACAGCTCCATAAAACACACGGTGAGCACTGCGTGTCACACGCATGCAGCATGCTCCCTGTTCAGCCTCTATAAGTGCTCAGTGAAAGATGATGGGCTAACAGGGCTTTTCCCCTGACAGTTACTAGACAAGAGCTCAGGAGGCACAGCCACCACTCCTCCTCCTATCAAGGACATAAATCCTCAGTAGGCCCCAGGGAATGCTTCTACTACTGTCAGCTCACGAGCTGCAAGGAAGCCAGCAGCAAAGCCAGCAGGTTCATACAGGAACTGTTTTGTTTTGACAAAGTCAGAGTTTTGGGTTTTTTTTTTTTTTTTTTCATTTTTTTTTTCATTTTTAATAAACAGAAGTGGTTTGCATTTCGCCCTGGCACCTTCTTTCGAAGTGGTTGCATCAGAAAATTCCTGATCAACCCTAACCTCCACTGGTGCAGCCACACTGTGGTCACACTGCAGCAGGCGCAGCTGGTGGCCACCCCATAGCTTTCCCAGCTGGGCTGGCTGTAGGCCCAGCTCCTGCCCCTGCCCCTGCTGTGCAGTGCTTTGACAGGAAGTTCGGTCAAAAAGCTGCCTCTTGCTTTGCAGCTTGCAAAACCCAGCTGGAGCACGGCAACAGACCCACGCTGCACACAGCAGAGTTCAGCACCTGTGGGATGCTGGTGCCTGGCATAGAGGCTTGGAAGACGCACCATCATGCAGAAAAAGTCTCTTTGGTAAACTACTATACTGTAGGAAAAGTGATTGGCCAGTTTTCACTAGGATTGACAAATAGCTGCATTCCCTATCTGGATACAAGTTAGGTTCAGGTCTCTGAGCAGCTCTTCACCCTCTGTGCCCTGGGGCAGTGTGGTTGCTGCCTCTCCTCATCCTGCCCAACTTCGAGCAGTGCCAACTGCAAATCCCCACCAGCCTGGGGACGTGGATGTGGCCAGTCAGGTTTCAGCTGTCATCATAGGGTCAACAAAGCAATTTGTTTCAAATTATTCTGTTGGTCTAATTGTATTTATTATTATTGCTTCTCTGCTGTGTGCAAGTAGATGTTTCAGAATGTTGGGCTTTTTGCTACATTATATGTTTGTGCATTTTATTAGACTAATTTGAAAGATTTGAAACGATGAATAAATTGTCACTCTCTTTGCTTTATCTGCTGTTGCAGCCTATGCCCAACAGATGTCACATATGAAATTCAAATTACGTCTTCAAATGGAGCATGACTTGGTAATGAATAATTCAAAACTTATACTGAAAATTTGAATGCTGTTTTTAAACAGCGTGTTTCTTAACACAGGCAATGTCAATGGAAAAATACTCACCTATTTATCTGGCCATTTTCCACCTCTGTGAAATCATTTGAATCGTTGCTGATGTTATCATCTTCAGGGATAGTCATATTCTGTAATTCAGTCAGTTCTAATCCAGCTTTGAACGGCATCTTGGATGAGGAACTGCACGTATCCAAGTGTTTCTTGAAATGCTAGTGTTTGGTTGGTATCTGGTGGGTAAATGGCAGCCACAGTATCAGCAACCTAGGTAAGACAAGAAAAAAACCCCAAGATATATACACCAACAGTAGGTAATATTACCAGAAGAACACAGTGAAACCTGGACATGAGGGATCATCCTCACCAACTTATCTGATATCATTAGAAGGACTTCAGGTTTTAATAGAAGTCATGCAGTCCAGTAGTGATGTTTCATTCTCCTTAGTGAGATCAACTCCACCAGCCTTACAGATTTACCCAGTCCCACCACTGACTGCAGAAGATGGTGCCTGTAGTTATAAACTAGGGAGCAAACCTATCATCTTTGATTCAGAAGAAGAGACTCAATGACTTACAAATTAAGGAATAAAACTTGTTTGCTTGCCCAAGAACATTACTTATTCAGTGTTCATCTTCAGCACATTCTCCATGTTGCTCCTTACTTAAAAATATAAAATACCTAAAGTTCATGCTGCTGCTAAATGGAGGAACAGTGGGGCAGTGTTATTGCAGCACTCTGTTCTAATGATGTCTGTACTCAAGGTATTTGAGAATGTTAGGTTTGTTCTGGTAAAGAAGAGGTACAGAGGCTGCTCTGTGTATGGCTACACTTATTCCAAACAAGGACAAAACCAGACAATAATAAATCCCTAAGAACACATCTCATATGAAGAATGAATAACATACATCTTGTGTCAAGCAGTTATTACTTATTGACCAGGAGGCCTCTCTGCTGTTAGATGTGTTACATAAAGGTGCCAAGAAAAGCACCAAAGGCAATTTGGATAGGGCTGTTATGGTGACACGTTTCCTTGTTAGAAATGCAGATCAGCTGAAGGCCAACTTTTTCCAGAGCCTGACAGACCAACAGTGCTTGCATGATGCAGAGGCGCCAGAACGTTATTCAGAAACAAGCACCCACACCACAGTCATTTCACTCCCGTTTTGTGAATGAATGTTCTGCTGCACTGCCAAGCAATAATTTGCAATTTGTCTTGGGGTACTTGGTGAATGCCCACACGCCGCATTTATTTGGGAATATTTCCTCAAATTTGCAGAACCACCTCAAAGCCACCAAGCTACTCTCGCGCAGCCAGGGAAGCAGCAGTGTCCCCAGGCTGTGACATCAGTCTGCTCCAAGTAAGTTTACACGGTTCAATACTCCTGGCTTACACCACATCCCCTCCCGCAGAGGACGGCTTTGCAAAGAAGCCCTTTTCCTTTTAAGTTTCTGAGAAAAGTACATTCATCTTCAGTCTTCCAAAAGCTTCCTCATTTGCCCTGGCCATAGCAGAGGCACTGTGCCGGTGGTGGAGAGGGGCCTACCCGGCCTATGGGAGCATCTCATGCTCAGATATGGAGGCATGAGGAGGCCATATGGCTGCCAGGGGAGGACTGCGTGCAGGGACCCTGGCCAGGCCCTCCTCAGCTCCCCTGCACAGCAAGTGCAGAGCACCCAGGGTAAGTGCCTGTATTTTATAAGGCTGGTGCAAGGCAAAATGAAAGTTGGCTGCAGACAAACAGCTGCAAACCGGTGAACAAGGGGTGGCTCTGGTGGTGACATTCTGGAGCAGTCTTCCCAGGGGCATAAAGTAGTCTACTTATTTTGGAAAGAAAGTGTGATCTTTTTATAAAAGGATAAAGCCACAGGAGGCAGCGGCTGTGAGGCGGCAAGGAGTGAGCATGCTGAATCCTGAGGCTTCTTGTGACCATGAGTTCCTAAAATAAACAGCATCTTAATAGAAGTGGCAGTGTGTACTGAGATCTGTATCTGGCATTTTAAAGCCAAGCAGAGGCTTGTCTAAAATTCAAGCAGCGCAACTTTCCCTGTGGGGGCTCTTTTGCATCTTTGTCCCCCAGGAGGATTTTCCCAGTCACCCTGACACTGCTTGTGCTTAATCAATTCTATGCTGAGTGTGTGCAAGAATAGGGAAATTCACCCTCCTGTGAGTTAAACAGCATGTTCGAGAGTGGGCTTCACGGCTCGCTGCTGTGCAGCTCCTGCTTCCCCTTCCTGCTGCCACGCAGCCGCTATGCTGTGAGCCGGACCTACAGGAGAGTGTCTGGATGATTTATCCAAAGGAATCTTTGGAGTGCAAAAGTGATGACTTTTCTGTTTGTTTGAACTAAAGCTCAGATTCTACCAAAAAAAGTTTGAATGAAGATGCTGGTGCAGCTGACGCCAGCTGACCCACCAGCAACAACTTCAGCAGATTCCAGATTTCAGACAGATGAGTGGCTCCTGCAACAGCATGACAGCATCTTGGAGTCTGTACCGGGTTCTTGTTAGGTTAAGTGGTTTACTAAAACAAAACAGAACCCTGAAACTAACAACACTGTGGAGTGAAATAATACATTGAACTTCCAAGTATGAAAAAACCTGACCTCAGTGCCAAAACATGAGGGCAGCAAAGACAGAACTGCGGGGCTGGGGCCTGAAACTTCGACTGTCACAGCAGGAATTCATTCCAAGGCTTTGGCAAAGGATAACTACCTTGTCCTTAGCACCTCCATCTGTAAAGCTAGGGTGACAATAGTGACAAAAGCATTCAGTGAAGTGCTTGAAGATTCAGAGAGAAAGAGCAATATGTGTGATACCCAGAAAAAAAAATTTCAAGTAAAGCTAAAAAATTTTGTAAAGATAACTTTCCTTTAGATATACACAACACAAACCCTTCATCAGAGCTAACCACTCTTGGTTCCCTCCACAGGCCTGGATACAGGTGGTCACATGCAAATCACTCCAAATTGCCTGTTTATACTGCAGGTGATGGAAGTGACAAATAGCACACAGCTTCTTAAGAACACCCACAGTCCCTAGGGGTAGAGATCCCAGCTTTACATTCCTCATGCTGCATGCTGGCTCTGCAAAAGTATGGGGAAAGGAAGACAAATGTGTATCTGCTGCTGGTGCCATTGATGCTGTGGGGAGGAAAAAAACAAATGCTTCACCTCACAAGAGTCATTATATGTTGATTCTGAGCTGGAAGACGTTTGTATTTTTACTGAAAACCTTTTCATTCAAACAATATGATATGGCAAATGCAGATAAAAATGCTATGTTGGCAAAAATTGCTAGACTGAACTTGATTATTAATTGCCTTTTAATATAAATTAAAAATAATCTGAACAGTGACTGCAGCAATCCCTTTGTGCTTGCTACTCTGCCCATCTTTAAACCTCATAAACAGAGAAGTTCCAGATCCCTGCAATCAAACCTCTCTCCAGACACACACAGACTAAAACAGAAAGACAAAAATTAGAATCTTGCCCTTACTTCCGACTTTTCCACTCACATGGGCAAATATTTCTTGAAGCATGAACTGCCCCAAGAGAAAACCAGAAAAGGACTAAAGACACTTCTAAAGGAGCCTCAAAAGTGTTTGGTAGCTGATCCAGGCCTCTTCCTGAGCAGAAAAAGCCCAGCACTGGCCTAGGAGCTTGGCTTTCTCTTTAGACATCCCATGACATGTCTTGCAAATCCCACAACGGATAATTTATTCCTTGCGTGCTCCTTGTAGAATATGGGAAAGATTTCAACTGGTCACAGACTTCAGAAGGAGAACTGTAAGATGACACAAGAAGATAAAACGAGTTTATTTTTCTCAAGGATATGGAGACCTTCACAAGCCATTAAAACACATTCCAAGAGCTGGGCTCTTTTTCTCTGTTGCCTTCTGAAACATCAAAAGAAAAATAAAAAGAGCCCTACAACTCCTCTCTTCTGGACAGTCAAAAGCTCCAGACTGGCAGTAATGGGCTCAAAAAGTTTGTATTTGAAAAAATATGTTAATAATAGACAATCTGACTTTATTTCTTTTGGCTCAAGCATGAGTCCTTTTTAGGCAGTACTTGGAAAAGGTGAAATATATGAACTACATCTCTAGAAACATGCTAGAAGCAGCATATCTAAAAGTAACATTACGCCTGGTGGTAACGATGATGGTATAATTCACAGGTATTTTTTTTTCATATCCTGTGAAGGATATAATTCAAGAAGTGCCATCTTAGGACACGAGGCTGCCCAGGAGCTGATCTGGTATGTGACAAGGCATGGAGTGGGGCTGGACACCATTATGCCCATCTTGGGGTATGGTTTTCCTCACATCAACTTGCACACTCACCGCGTGCTCCCTTCACAGTGCATTTCCTGCAGTCTTTGGGATGGCAAACATTCAAGACACGCTAAGCAATTTTAACTACGGAATTCAAGACAATTTACTTAAAAGAAATATGACTCAACTTTTTGCTCAGGAGTTTTGCCAGTTAGTCCCCTCTCTTGGTCGGTTAGGAGGCATCAGAATGCAGCGCCTGAATTTTGCACATGCTGTTTCATTCTTGCAAAGCCTGAGATATGATACATCTTTGCTTGCACTTTTGAAAGTTCTTTCAAAGAACAGCAATGTGACCAGTAAGACTCCATGGGCATACATAATGAAATGCCAAGCCTGAAATGCTGCGTATGGACTATTCACAGACAGCAATAATAGGTTTTAGACAGTATCACATTGAAAAGCCAGGAAGCAAACCTCTCCTTTCTGCTAGAGACACCTGACATCTGGAACATCAAGTTCCCGTTTTACTCCTAACCTACAGGAAGGACAAAATTGAGAGATGAGAGGAGCACTACCGAGATAACAAAGAGCCTGGAAATAAATTAAAGACTGACTCACATCCAGTGAGCAAACATCTGTGGAGCTGAAAATGTCACTGCCTCCAGCTATACAGCACTGCTCCTCTGCAGCCCAGGGAGCTGGAGGAAGGAAGCAGGCTCATCCCCTTTGATCCCTGCTCGTGGGTGCCAAAGAGCTGCCAGTATGCCTGTG